GAGACAGGCCAGGTAGGCGGCTTCTGTGGGCACTGACCCAGAAGCGCACTGAAACACCACAGGAATTCATCAGAAATCTGCTGCTTTCTCACAGGGGGTGGGAAGGAAATTAGTGGATCTCTTGCCAAAATACTCTTAAGCAGATAAATACTTAAGCAGGTTGTACCCTTAAATAGGAAGAAAACATCTGTGGGGTATTTTTGTGATGTGCATTGCAAGTTGCTACATCCACTGGCCAGTGGCCCTGAGACCAGCCAGCTGGCAGCCTGTGGAGTGGCCATTGCTCAGCAGCCCAGATTCTGAAAACAAATAATGCACAGCAAGGGCTAGTCCCCCAGAACGTATCTGAAAGTCTTTATTAGAATGTCTCCTTAAAAGTGGTTTGGCTGCAATGGAACACTACAGAGAGAATAACAGCTACAGAGAGTAAACCGTGTCTGAGATACACCCCCATTTTGAACATAAGGAAAGGGGGCTACAATTTTTATTAATGGGAAAGTGATTCCTTCTCATCCTCATTAGGGTAACATTAAACGCTCATGGAAAGATTATTAATTCAAAGGGTGACAGGCTTCTAGCCTGTCCAGGGTGCCCAAGTGTTTCTGGTCTGCTCTGCAGGCAGGGCGATTTCCTCCAGGCCCCATGGGCCTGCCGGTGAGAGAAGACTAACGACATGTGTGGAATAATGTTAGAACCTCCCAGAAGCCATGATGAATGCTGGTGATCAGGGCAACCACAACTGGAGGAATGGGTATCAGTGGAAATGCCCGGGAAGTCCCCAACTTGGAGTCTGTTCTGTGACCTCCTGGCTGATCCCTCCTTGACCAATTCTGTTCTCTCCCGGAAACATCACCTTTCTGGGTGCAGCCTTGAGCAGACCCCACTGGGACCAGCAACCTCGGCGGGTGCCCAACTTCTGTGCTTGATGCCACACCGCCACCTGGTGGCTTCTCGCCATAGGTCCCCGGGGCTTCTGCTGAGAGCTTTGTTCCCAGGGCAGGTGCTCGGCTCTGGCGCCTTGTGTCTCTCTCTCTCTTTCAGCCCGAGGCGCTCATCTGGGCCCCTCTCTGCTGGCAGCCAGCTCCCCAACGAAGGCGCGCCTCCCAAGGCCACGTCCGGCGCACAGGGAGCTGGCCCGGTTCAGCCCTGTGCTGACCTGCAGCTGCCACGGACACCGAGTGCCCGCCACTACCCAGCAGCAGTGGAGGGTGCTGGCCTCCTGTGCCATAGGAGTCACAGGCTTCTTTCATGGGCCCTGATCTGGGAAGAACCACTGGCCTGCCCGGGGGCACTGGGAACTGCTACGGGCAGTGAGAAAGGCACCTCCAGCGTGGACTGCGGACTTGCTGGAGCTGACGCCGTTGTAACAGCCGAGGGTGGCTCTAACTGCTGGTGGCACAGGCAGTGCCCGGGAGGCCCCTTCCTCCTGTGCCCGCGGAAGGCGTCAATCAATCCTCACCATCCACCAGAGTTGGCATGGATATCAACGCTCCTTGCCCTGTGTTGGGCTTGAACTGTGTCCCCCCCCACCCCCCAAAAAACATGCTGAAGTCCTAACCCCTGGTACCTGTGAATGGGACCTGTTTGGAAGTAGGGTCTGGGCAGAGGTAATAGGTTAAGACAAGGTCATACTGGATTAGGGTACGGGATCCAGGAAAGAGGTGGAGCATTCCTGGGTGGATCCCCAATTGTTGGGTCTCAGTTTCCCCATCTGAAAAATAAAGCTTCAAACATAAAGGCGTGTGTGTGTGTATTTGTAATCTGTAGCAGTTAAAGCAAAGGACAGGATGACCATAGAGCAACATGTGTGGACCTTAAACGTGGGGCTGAGTGGGTCATAAAGACAAGAAAAAGAATGAGACAGCATAGTACCCTTGGTGTAAATGAAATGCTCGCACACTAAACCATTTGCAAACAAAGCCGAGCACACTAAAAAGCTCACTGCGGGGGCTGGGAGGGTGGGCGGGGGAATGCGGGTAGAGGAGTGAGCGAAACAGGTGGGGCGGGGGTTCGGCCTGGACAGCAGCTGCCCCGGCTCACGCTTACCCACATGCACTCACAATTGGACAAGCCCAGCCTTCATTTCACTCATGGGGAAACTGAAGACCAGAGGGCTTCCGTAACTTGCCTGGGTCACACAGCTCATAAAGAGGGGAGCTGGGACCTGCGTCCGGGACAGCTGGCTACAAACCAGGGTTTTTCCTGCACTAGGACCCTCCTCCTAGACCCTCCCTGCCTCTTCCTGCTCTGCAGGCTAGTTAACAACACCGCCAACTGCACAGCTCACACCTGTCTGCGTACTTACCTGTGCCTGCAAGTCCACTCCCGCGGGATTGCTGTGCCCCTGAGACGCGCAGGGCTGGGAGCTTCAGCCCCCGTTTGTTCAGGTCAGACAGGAGCTCAGGTAAGACGGGCCTGCGCGTGAATGGCACCTTCTGACCCCCACACCCCGCGTTCAGTGCACGTCCTTATGTTGTCTCCCTAGGCAAAAATGGGAGACATTTAGAAAACACCACCCTTGTCAAACACCTCACCTTACAAGTGAGCCCAGGAACAGAGAGCAGGGGCGCCCCCAGGGTCCGAGACCTGCCGCTTTTGAACCTGCTCCAGACTAGGGGGCCCTCCGACCAGCTGCTGGGTGGCCTCCTCACCCCACTCAACACTGTTCCTCTTCCTTAACTTGCCCTGTGTCACTGCCTGCCGTCCCCCACCCCCCATGCCTCACTCAGTCTTGCTGCTGAGCTTCACAAGCCACACCCACACCCTGCAGTCTGTGTGCTTTACCTCTTCCCTTGCCCGGGGTTCTCCCGCCTCGCTTGATCATAAGAATCATCTGGGCTCTTCATAGACATGGACAGTTACTCACTCCTGGCCCTGGGAATCAGGGGAGGCACGTGGGAATCTCTGTCCTGAGCACACCCCACGGGGTCCTTCTGCCCCGGCCTCTTTGCAGAGCACGGGCCCATCCCGCCTCTGCCCCTGCAGCCCCCCCCCCCCCCCCCCCCGCCCCGGCGCTTCTGCGGCAGGAACGAGGTCTCCTCCTGTGAGCCCCCTGCACTGGCGTCTCAGTTCCCATGTCTGACCAAGGCAGCTGGCATTTCTGAGCCTCCGTTTCCTCATCTCAAAAGTTCGGGGGAAGTATCTACCCTGAGGGATCTTGTGGGATTAAATGAGACACTGAAGGCAAAGGGCCGAAGGCAGTTCCTGACTGCGTCGCGTCAGCTTCCATCCTGCCAGGGGCTAACCAGCTGCCGGCGGGAGGCACAGGGCTCTCTGAGATCTGAAACTGTACTCTCCCTTGGTCCCGTGACCTGTCCTCAATGGCCTTCCTTCCCAGGTGCCCACCTGCTCTCTGTGGAAATAGCTGCAGCCCCTACGATAGCCTGCGAGTTTCCTTTTATAAGTGGGTGTTTGCCGATCGCCTGCCAGCCCCAGGTCTGCCCAGGCAGGTGACGGTCAGGCCGGCGTCCCCACCCCTCTGCCGGCTGGAGGCATCCGGAGCCCCAGGTTGACTGTCGCCAAGCCCATCGCAAATGCCGCTGCTGCCCCTGGAAGGTGAACCCATTTCCATGCTGATTTTGACTTACACTTTCTCCTGCCAACTCCATTTCAGTGAACAGCTCCCTGAGGTCATCATGCAAGCTGGTACAAACGGTTATCATTTGCAGTTACTTGCCTGTTTGTTTCATGCCTCTCTTGACACTGTGCAATCAAGTCAAATTCAGAAATGACGTGGATGCAGCTGTGACCCACACTCCTCGGCTTCAGATTCTGAGCTCATTGCAATTGCCTCATTGCTGTCAGGGGCTCACGTTGTAATAGATAAATGCCGTAAAATTGAACTTGTAAAATATATAAGAATAAATGACCACTTTTATCTGTTTCAGTCACAGTTTTCAACAGTTTTATCTGTTGTGCCTTGTGGGTTGGTGGAGGGGATTAAGTGACATCGGCCTTGGCCCAGAGTCAGGAGCTAAGCGAGGATTCGAAGAGCGGGCTCTGCAACTACCTGGGGAAGAGCCAGGCAGGGGAAGGGCAAGAGGGTGGCTCAGAGGCAGGGGCGTGCCTGGGGTGTCCCTGGCCCCCAGGAAAGCCACGGTGGCAGGCGCACAGCGAGCCAGGAGGCAGAGAAATCATAGGTGAGGTTGCAGAGGTGGGTGGCAAGTCGCTTTTGCTTTATTTTCATCCTGTTTACATTATTTTTAGCGTTAGCTTCTTTTTATGGAAAGATAGTGACTTTCTTTGTTGCCAGTACAAAGTATCCCTCTAAAGTAACATTATGTGAGAAAGAGATCAATGTAAGGAAACATAAAAGGAAGCAATACAGTCTGCAAATAACAAACATTGTGAAGGCTGTCCTCAGGAGTCTGAAATTTGGGAATCGAGGAAGGCGGGTCTCTCTTCCTCTCACCTCGCTTCTCAGCACAAGTGGGTGTGGAATTCCAATGCCAAAGCTTCACCGGCAACCTCAGCTGTCAGGGTGTCACAGCACCGTTGCACAGACGCCTGATGTCAGAGCTGTGCAGTGGGGGGTTCTGGTCACTGCGTCCACCTGCCCCCTCTCTGCGCGGGTGGAGCCACTGAGGCGCAGGGAAGCCGAGTCTCACTGACACTTTGGAGGGAAGAACGGGTCATGGTTTCTGTCCGACTCAACGCCCCTGCTGCCCCTGCCCTGAATCCAGGGGTGCAGCCCCCAGAGACTCTGGAGACAGGGAAGGTGGAGGGTGGGAGTGAGCACCGTGGCTGAGCCGATAGGGTGGGTGGGGAGGGTCTGGCTGGGCTGTGGTCCAGCCGAGGCAGCTCTGGCCCACCCGGTGCTGAGGTCTTTTGGGGGCTGGGGGCCTGGAGGCCCCTTCTGAGCCTCAGGGGACAGGGACCACCCCACCTAGGCCACCCGTACAGTTCTTGAAACAGCACAATTTGCCCCCTTTCAGGTAATGGCCCCCTGGGGAAGGGACCACGCGGTGACTTCCGATGCTGTGGCAGGTCCCAGTGCCTCTTTACCTCCACTTCTGCTCCTCCTGTGCGTCACCCTGAGTCACGTCCTCGTAGGATGGCGGGGGCCCACTGAACCCCAGTGATGTGTCAGGAACAATTGACACGTCATCCTTCAGCAAAAGAGAAGCCACTGTCCACACTGCTCACGTGTGTGGAGCAAGTGGCCTTGGACAGAACGCTTTCCCTCGGGCCCGCTCGTTGAAGTCTTAAGGTCCCTATGAAGATGGGGGAATGGGGGGCGGCGGAGACAGCGGGACTCCCGTGAAGGTGGCGCATGGCCCTCTCCAACTCCTGGTTCTTGAGAAGGGAGTGGGGAGGGGCCCACTTCTCAGTTGGCCGCCTGGGCCCTCATTCCCAGCCGGCTATCCGGGTGCAGGCGACTATACACGAGTCCCTCTGTTGGCTTCCCCAAGGGGGCAGGGCCGGGCAACACCCCGAGGCCCCTCTCAGCTGCAGGGCATTCTGGGAGCACGTCCAACGCTAACAGCCTCCCCAGTCACTGCTGCATCATCTGCATCCCTCAGCTCTGCCAAGAGTGGCGCCAGCCGGGGCTGCAGAGCTTGTCCCTGGCACTGTCCTCTCAGATGGAGGAGGCCACCAAGGCCTTTGGTGGGGAGGCCCCTGGCTCTGTGACCTGGGGAAGTCACTTAACATTTCTGGGCCTCATTCCACCTCCTGAAAATAAGCAAGCAGAGCCTGCCTCCCAGAGTGGCTGTGAGGTTTGGGGAGGACTGAGCCAGCGTGGCAGGTGGAAGGGTGGCCCCCAAGGACATCCACGTCCTCATCCCCGAACCTGTGACCATCTTAGGTTACACAGTGAAGGGGAGTTAACACTGCTACTCAGGTGACCTCGAGAGGGGGAGATGATCCTGACTTTTCTGGGGGGGCCCAATGTAATCACGAGGGCCCTTCGCAGAGGAAGGGGAGACAGAAGAGCGATGTGTTAGGGTGCTGGAGGGAGGGGCTGCAGGCCCAGGAATGGGGGCGGCCTCTGGGGGCTGGAAAAGGCAAGGAAGCAGATTCTCCCATAGGAGATGGTCCTGCTGACATCTTGACTTTAGCCCAGAAAGACCTATTTCAAATTGCTGACTGCCAGGGCTGCAAGATACAGCGGCTGTGTGTGTGGGATTTGTTACAGCAGCAATAGGAAACTGATACAACTGTCAGCAGCATTTAGCACAGTGCCTGGCACAGCACGTGCCCTAGGTAGGAACAGCCACTGTTAATTCCTGCAGCCAGGTAAGGGGCCTTGGTTTCCCCATCCCTCAAAGTGGGGTTGGCCTCAGCGGCTTCAGGCCCCCTGTCAGCTCTCCGATGTCCTAAGGAGAAGACTTGCTGCTAGATGGCCGGACCATGACTAGGACAACCGATTTGCTTGGCTACAGAAACCTTGGGGCCACCGACTCATATCTGCATTCTGTGAAAACTGAGTGGGTGGATGACAACCCGGGTGTTAAATTTGCAGGATTATGGGACATTTACAACGTGTTTTTATAGCGTTCTAAAGTTAAGCTTATGAGTTTTTCTTTAATAAAATGAGCCTGGGAAATCCCTGCTGGGGCAAGGGTAGAATTCTATTTCCTGGCCTTCGGTCCTGTCATTCACATGTGTGGACAGGGCTCGGCTGCGGGTTACACATACCCTGGACCGAGGCTTGGATTTTCTTACCAGTTGCTGTGTGCCGTGTCTAAGCCTCAGTTTAGTTATCTGTAGAATGGAGAAGGAAGCACCTACCTCGAAGGGTTGTTGAGAAGATTCGGTTAAATAAAGTTACGCTCACCTGAAGTGCTTCGCTGAGCGAGCGCCTGGTGTGCCCGCAGGGCTCGGCCCCAGCGCCCCTCCGGCTTGCCCCACCACCGCCGAACCCGCAACACACTCCAGCTCTCCCAGACCTTCCCTGTCCTGCTGCCAAGCCATCGCACATGCTGTCCCCCGTGCTGGAGGTGCCTCCTCTCATCATGGCCTGAATCCTGCCCTCCACAGGTCTCCCGGATGAGGCCTCCCAGCCCTCGGAGCTGAGAGCGAGGTGGCCTGTGGCGCTGAGAGCGCGTGCCTTTTTCCCTTTGGTGGCCCCGTATTTCCCATGTCAACTGGCATTCTCTGCCCTGTGCCTTCTCTCCCTGCTGGATCGTGGGCTGTCCCTGCGGCCTCGCTACTAAATGCTCAGCAATGAGTGAGAGACGCAGTCCTCATGCACCTCCCGCCTGAACGTCCCCTTCCTGAGACTTCTGTTTCCTCATGTCCCCGTCTCTTGAGGGCCCTCACCTCTGCAGATAGGCGGTTGTCCCTGCAGACTACGATGGCTGTGATCCCTAGCAGGAAGAGCTCCAAGCAGGTGAGGCTGAGCAGGACCATCTCCAGCCTCTGGATGTGGACCTGGGGGAGGCGGGGACGGGGGAGGCCTCACTGGGTGCCCGCGCCCGTGGCGCTGCTTAGGCCGGGGTCAGGCCCAGCCAGCACGGGGCACCGGGGTTTCGGCCCCCAGGCGTGCCTGCGGAGGCCCGGGCAGGTGTCGGGCAGGGAGTGGGTCTGTCTCTGTCACTGCTCTGGGCCTGGCACCCGTGGGTCCTCGGTGAAATTTGCCTAACGTTTGAGGGCTGGAGACTCTCATGGGACCCTGGAAGAACTGGAGGTGGCCTTAGGCATTAGCTGATCCAATCCCACTTAGACGGGGATATGGGAGGCTCAGAGAGAAGGAGTGTCTCTTACAGCCGGGGAGGGAAGAGAAAGGCTGAGGACCACAGTGCAGCCGGGACATCGCATGGGGCCAGAAATTTCGGGGGGGGGGGAGTGTGTGTCTGAGCACAGGTGTGCGGGCATGTGCGCGCCACACATGTGTGTGCATGATCGGGGGGCAATGGGGAAGAGTGAGCCAGCATGGCCAGAACCCGCGGAGCCTGGCCCAGAGGCCCTCGGCCACGCCCCTGGGGGGCTGGTCCACCTCCTGCACAGAGGCGGCTGTGGTGCAGGGGCACTGGGCTTGCAGTTGGGGACCCAGCTCCGCGCCCTCGTGCACCCCTGACTTGCTGCGTGGCCTTGGTCTGCTAATTTAGCTTCTCTAGGCCTCAGCGTTCATACCCATGTAATGGGGCAACCAAGCAGACTCAGCCAGCTCTGTCAGGCTGCTGTGAGGCCCACGGGTAGTGATAGTGGGGTCTCTGGGGCTCTGATACCTAAGGAGCCTTGAACAGGAAATTAACAGCCCAGGCCAAGGGCCTGAATTTGCTGCCAACTCGCTGCTCGACCTCAGACCTGCCCCACTCTGGCCCCAGTGTCCCCCTCTGTCCCAGTAGGACTGGACTAAGTGATGTGAGTGTTGCTGCCCAGCAAGAAGGCCAGCATCCACTCTGACTGTGCCTCAGGGGGTGGGCACAGGGGGAGCAAGGGCCCCGCCACCTGCGCCTGGGCCCCAGCGGAGGATTTCTGAGAGCCAGAAATGTGGCCTCGGCCAAGCCCCTGGCAGTGCCTTCCCGGGGGCTGGCAGACCCCAGGGGCCTGGGCACTCACTGTGCTGTAGAAGGACAGTCTCCAGAGCAGGGACTCAAAGGGACTCTCCAGAAAGAGATCCTTGGCAATGACAAAGAGGCCGGCCAGCACGCAGAAGAAGCTGATGAAGTTTGTTGTCAGGCACAGCACCTTCTACAAGCAAAAAATGAAAGTGACAACCGTGGTCCACAGGTTAGAGACCCTGGTAGATCCGGTCCACGCCTGCCAGCAGCTTGCCCTGGGGCCTCAGGAAAGACTCTGCCCATCTCTGGGCTGAAGACTCTTATCCAATCACGACTTTCTTAGCTAACTGACCACAGAGTGGCCCCCACGGCTCTCACCTCCTGCAGGGACAAGGTTGGGGGACCTCGGGGCTGCCTCCAGATCCATGGGCTTTGGGATAAAGCTGTTTCCACTGCATCTCCCTCTCAAAGCTGGCCTCCACCATCCTGGCACCAGATACATCATCTTGACAGCGAGTTGGCCGCTCGCCCAGCCTCCTCCCGCAGGAAAGGGCTGGAGGGCCCTGAAGGGGCCCTGTCCTCACACACCCCAGGCCTGCCTCCCTCCCCACCGGCCACGGCCCCTGTAACGCCTCCTTTTATCATCATTTTGCCTTAAGCGTCATTCCGAACGCAAACCCCTGTAAGGAGGAAGTGTGTGAACACAGGGAACCGCCAGCCTCTTGGGCTGTAATGGACTTCTCTGTGGGAAGATGTGCCCTGTGCTCAGCTACAGGAAGGGGGAGGCTTTTGGCTCTGAAGTTCCCTGCCCAGGAGAAATGGGTGGGTCTTTGCTAGGCATCTCCTGCTTCTCCCAGTTAAACTGCACTACACCCTCCTGTTCTCTACGCCCTCTGGGAGGACGGGGACAGCCACAGCCCAGAGCAGGCCGAGGGCTCAATGTGGACCAGCCAGGGCTTCTGGGGCAGGTGGTGGACTGAGGCCATGAAGCAGGAGTGGCAGGGCTGGTTCTTCCATCATCCATGTCCATCAGCCGGTCCTGTGTCAGTGTCTACGCTGTGCCTGCCCCCTCCCATCCCCCCGCCCCTGCTCCCGGTCTACAGAGATGCTCAGACACCTAGAGTACAGGAGAGAAACAGGGGCCAGGCAAGCCCCAGGGGCTGTGCGGACACAGGAGCCAGCCATGGCAGGCTAGGGAAGATGCAGCGTGCGAGCTGAACCCTAAAGTGTGATCAGGAGTAAGTCCGGCTGGGAGAGAACGTGCGGCGGGGTGGGGCAAGGTGCCGGCGGGAGCAGCTCGGCTCAGGGGAGGGCCTCACGTGTGTCAGGCTGGTGCTCAGCGGTGAGAAGCAGATAGAAACCCAGCCGCCGCCTGGGATTTGCAGACTTGCCGACGTCGGAGGCAAGCCAAGGGCACGGGGAACCAAGGAGGGGTTGGCAGCCGTGGGGGGACACAGGCAGACTAGAACGTGAGAACTGTCCCTCGGCCGCTGTGTGGAGAACAGGCTGGATGGCGCCTCCAGGCCAGAGAGGGTGGTGGACAGAATTGGGGCGCAAGAAGGGCGGTGGGCAGAGCGACATGCGTGGAGTCAGGGACGTGAGCCTGGGGCAGATCTCCGGGATGGGGCGCCTTTCTGCTTGGAGGCCCTCTGCTGTTTTGAAGACTTGTGCCTGCTCACAGATGTCTGCCTCCTGAGTCTCTGCCGCACACAGACGCCCTGCACCAGGTGACTCCAGGCCGGGGGTGGAAGGGAATGATCTCAATGCTCCAACTCACCAGAGGGGTTTTCGGAACCACTTCCATCGCTATTGCCGAGAGCCCTGAAATGAAGAACTGCGGGCCAGATTTGAAACAGTCATAAAAGAGAGGCTGGGGTTCCTTGAAACCCACAGATTCCTTCCCTTACCAGCACTTGCTAAGAAAACCCACCTGGGGCGGCTAGTGGGGTTGAGAACACTATTCCTCCAACAAAGGGAGCTCTCCCTGCCCACTGCCTGGCCCAGCCCAGGCCCGCTCCAGCCGGCTGCTCTGCCCTCTGCTCGCAAACCTCCACAGCTGGGTTCAAGCTGCGCCCTGAGCTCCAAATGCCACCCCAGTCCCTCCTGCTTCCCGATTTCATTAGCCCAAACCGGCCTTCCGGGATTAGTCAAACTATCCCCTCTATGGGGCTCCTTTGTCCTCCCTGAATCCTGCAGTGGGGAGGAGATAAGCTCTGCCTGAAGATCTCTGGTGCAGTCCTGCAATTATACTTTCGAATGTTTGTTGAGCTCCTACTACGTGGCCACCGGGTGCAAAGGGATTCATGGGCACTGTGCACGGAGATAGTTCCATCTCTGCACCCTGGAAGCTTGGGGCTGGCACAGTGGACTGAAGTGACAGTGGGGGGCTGGGACATTTGCCTGAGTGGGCGCCACGGAGCTGGGATGCTGTGTGACCAGGACTCCCCCAGGGCCCCAGGGCCGGAGAGGCGACCCTGAGGAGCCTCTGAGGACTGTGTGTGCACTGTTCTCTTCTAGTCTCTCGTCCTGGCCCATGGCCTGGGGAGGACAGGGGACCCTATCCTGCAGACTGACCCGGGCAGAGGCTTGGGCATCAGGGAGGTGTTGCTGCATCCAAAGGCAGCCTGGCCGCCTTGAAGCCTGATGGAGGTCAAGCCGCCCCTTGTGCATGCTCACCCCCTTCTCTGCCGGAGGCACGTGTTGAATGAGGGGAGAGTGCAAACAGCCGGGAGGGTCTCCTGGGAAGGCGTTATTGCCAGTGTGACTGGGGTACAGCAGCAGAGAGGGACACTGGAGAAGGCACAGGCCGATGCTTCCCTTTTATGAGCTCCGTCTGTCCCACCCCACGTCTGGTCCCAAATGCCGCGGCCCCTACCCCCAGCCCATGTTTGGCTCCTACTCACAGAGGCAGCCCCCCAGAATGGGTACCAAGACTTCAGCACCACCAGGTGATGGCTCGTGACTGCAAAAACCAGGTAGCTCCCGAGGAACACGTGCAGCATCGCGATGAAAATATGGAAGACCTGGGCAGGGAACAGTGAGCCACCATGAGGGCCCCCGCCCTGAGAGAGGTCACTGGTGCCCTGGACCAACCAGCTGGAAGGAGTCCACTTCCTTCGCTAATGCAGTCCGCTAATTCCCCCGGGCTCCTGGTGGGGCTGCAAGGCGGGGACCACTCCCCAGGAAGGCAGGTGGGGATTAAATACTTGCCGCCCTGCTAGAGGGCTCCCCCTCCCCCGACCTGGGGGCGAGAAGGGAAGGGGTGGGAGAGTCTTCTGTCTGGGCTCCCCTGAGCCAACACTGAGCCAGTGCTGCCGTGGGCGTAGACAGCCTCTCACCACCTCTCACGGCTTTTTCTATGTGAGGGTGAGTGTTAAGCAGGGAAGCTGGAGGCTTTCTTGTCTCCCTCCATCCCCAGGGCTCCCCAGAGCCGTCCCGTGTATCCCTGTCATCTCCTCTCCATGCCCAGGGCCCCAGGAAATGGACACTCACGCCCAGCCCCTGGAGAAGGACGCTTCTCTTCCGGGGCCTCTCCTGGTGCCAGTCTGGAGGCAGGGGTAGACTCGTCTGGCCAGGCTGGACTGGGCGGAGGGCCTGCCAGGTCTCAAGCCCCCCAGCTCCAGATCTGGGCATGACGGCTGCTGCTCCGGTGGCTTCTGCTGCCATGACTCAGGCCAAGGATCCTGGCTGCGGGCTAAGGAGACAGGTCAAGTCAGAGCTCGTCTTGTGTCTGGGGCTTCTGCCTGGGTGAGACTCAGTGCCGGCCACCTCTGCCTGCCCTTTGGACCAGGGCCTTCCAGAACATGGCCGCTTTGGCTGCAGCCCCTGAACTTGATTTAATACAGATTAAATTAGTCTCCAGGGATCGGGAGAAACTGAACTGCCACTCACAGCCTCTGTGTGGTTTGCAGGGACACAGCTCCTTCCGGGGCAGAACAGCAAGGAGCAGACAGACGTCCCAACCATCCCAAGCCAGAGCTCACCCAATCTGGCAAAGTGCAGTTAGGCGAGAGCCACGGAGCAGGAGGCCTGGGCAGGCACGGCGAACTTTGTAAACAGTCCCTGTCTACGGCCCCGGATGAGGCAAATGAGGGTAAGTGGGGATCAGATAACTGTCCCACCATCTGTGGCGATGGGGGTGCCTCCTGGGTTTGGGACGATGGGGAGGAGAAAGGAAGGAAACCCCTGCAGAGGACCTGCTTTGAGCCAACACAGAGCTAGGAGGTCCATTTTAACCAAGACAATAAGTCAGCGTTTAAAAGTACTTTCTCTGTTCCTAGCAGCACGATAGGCATTTTACACTCATTATCTGATTTTATCCTTATCCCTGCTCTCAGTTTGCAGCTGATGCTCAGAGAGGTTAAGCCACTTGCCTGAGGTCACACAGCTAGCCCACAGCTGGGCTGGGACTTAAAGCCTGGAAGACGGGTTCCAGAGCTTGCGGCCTTAAATCCTTCATGTACAGTTGCCTCAGGGAATGAAAATGAATGTTCTGGGTTTTCCTCATCTGGGCATGAGGAAAGGGTTGGGGACAACTCAGCAGGAGGCTCAAAGCGCCACTTGCTGAGACCTTGGCCATTGCGTTGTATGCGGATGCTGTGCGGCACGTCAGAACTTGGGGGCTGCCTGGTGCCTCGGTAAGAAAAGCGGAAGCCTTTCTCCGGAGAGCGGAGTGGATGCAGGCTGGGCAGGGGAAGAGTAGGGCACGGGTTGGCTGCAGTGGTCCTGGCAGGAGCGATTCTCCACGGGGACCGGACGAACGAGAGAATCCTTCACAGGAGTCGACTTTTGTACTCTTTCTAGTAAAAAGAAAGAGTGGGGGGCACATTCCCCAACTGTGTGACTCGGGGGTCTCGTGTGAGCATCCACACTTCGCAGTTTCCCTGCCGGGGCGTTGATGGTGAGGCAGGGGAAAGAGCCTTGGGAGGCCGGACGTGTTGCCTGGGCGACTAGATCCTGAACAGCGTGGAAATGGAAGGGCAGAGTGGGAGAGCCACAGGGCAAGGGGGCTCAGGGTCGGCGAGCACTGGCTCTGTGCCTGACGCTGTGCCTGCTGACCCCCGTCACTGCCCGGGAAGGTGACTCCATTCCATAGAAGAAGAACCGAGGTTCAGGGAGGTCCGGTGCCTTGGCCAAAGCCACATAGCAAAGTGCCTGGGCCTGGGACTGTGTGTGGTGCGATGCCAGCGCTCTCTGCCCAGGCTGCTGTGACCCCTGATCCGTGTCTCCACTGGCCTGGGGTAACAGCTCCTGATTTAGGGGGCTGGCTGAGGGGAGGCTGGGCTTCTCTTCTTCCTGAGCTCCATTGCCGCGTGACCCTTTCCTGTGACCTGACCCAGCTATGCTTGGGAATTTGTCCCTCTCTCGATTCCCAGCCATCAGGCCCCCTCTGACATAGCCAGCTGGGCTGAGGAGTGTAGCTGGTGGCAGAGACCTGTACCAATCGGCCCCGGGCTGCAGCTAGAGTTCCGTGCGCTTGGGAGGATAGACGCTGGACCTACGGCTGGACGTCACTGGGAAGCACAAAGGAAGGAAGACTTCTTGGCAGACGAGTCTTGGATGGAAGAGTGGGACAGCGTGTTCGCGGTCCTTGGAGGTGGAGGAAAGGACTTCTCTTTCCAGAGTGGAGGCAGTGGGGATGGTTCAAATAGCCACTAGGGAATTAGATGCAAGAATCCAGGGTAACCTTCTCAAAGCGTGTTTCATGGAACAGGGGTCCTGACAGATCAGCAGCAAAAGTCTTCCCTGGTCAGATAAGTCTGGGAAACCCTGGGTATCATCTTCCTGTCCTTTAGCATATTAAAGACCCTGAGAATTCCTGCAGTGGAGCACCCTATTTTAATAATAAAGACATTTCCCAAACTTCATTGACCATGGAAACTTGGTCCCATTGTCCAACAATTCTACCTGCATACTTGGTAATCTGTGGGGAATGCTTTTGGCCTTAAACTTAGAGGTGCGCTGTTCTGGGTTTTTTGGAGGGGATGGGGGTTTCTTTGCCTTTCTTTTGGTTTTCTCACATGCATATCACAGTGGGGGTAGGAACTGGACCGTGATCTCTAGGGACACTTCCAATTCTACATAATTCTCTCACAAGACCCAGGGCTCCTACAAGGGACTTTACACGCCCAGGAGGGAAGGAGACGAGGAGGCAGGGCTCAGATAAGCAGAGGGAAAAGTCTGCTTGTTTGTGAAGAGGGTCATGAACTCTGAGTCTTTTGAAGGCTTTTGCCTGCGATGCAGACCCATGAGAACAGTGCGGGGAAACTGTTTTAGCCTTGACCCCTCCCTGATCCCTTCAGCCAGGTCAAGACCCAAGGGACCAGCCAACCGGGCACCCCCAAGAACACCAGCCAAGGCCTGGGTGCTCCCTGGGTCCTGGGTAGGGAAAGAGGGAGCACCCTCCAGCCCCTCTGAAGAGTGAACTAGGTCATGAGCACTGGAGGCAGACAAGCCTGGGCCAGACCCCGGCTCTGCTCTGTGGAACTTAGACCTTGGTCGGGCTGGTTACATCTCAGCATCTTAGTCTCCTCACCCGTCACCCTGGGGAGCACTAGTGGCTTTGCTGGGTGTGGGCAGGGGCTGTGGGGGCTACATGGGAGAAGGTCCACAACACGCAGGGCCCCGCACAGACCAAGCGATCAGTAAGCGTCAGCCAGTGCTGCCAGCAGCCTGCCACATGCCTGGAGTCCTGCCATCCAGGCGCCATCTGGCCGGTGTCTGGTTCTCATTTAAGACCTAACAAGTCCTGTCTGCATCATGCGGCGGGGTAGCCACAGGGGAAGAGGGCCCTGAGGGCTTTGGGGAAAGGTGGGAAGAGGGAAGGAGAGCACTGAGTGTATTGAACTGGTGGTCTGAGTTTATCTCACTTCTGCGGACAGGAAACCTGGGCAGAGGAACCTGTGACCCTAATCAGACTGTGCTGTGTAGGCCTGGAGGACAGGGAGAGCTCCCAAGGGTGTGTGCACATGTGTGCGCACACACCTGTACATATGTGTGCACGCATGTGCATGCACATCAAGCAAAGAAAGGCAGGAGCTGAGAGGTATCAAGTCACACCATGTGACTGAGGGGCTGGTAGGGGACCAGGGACCCCCTTAGAGGGTTGGGGTTCGGTAGATGCCAGTTAGAAAATAGCTGTGAATGTGCTGAAGCCAGCCTTCCCCAGGGATTCAGGGCGCAGTGCGGTGTAAGGAGAGGTTCTCCTGCAAAAATCAGGGGGCCTGTGGGAAACAGGGGCCTGCGCCCTGGGATGTGAGGAGGCCCGGATCCCAGACCTGGCTCTGAGTGGTCCTGGGAAGTCCCGCCTCTCCTTTGGGGCTCTGCTCCCTCCAAGCCGTCGCTCTGTGTGTGAGTTTCTGGGACTGGGGTAGAAAAGGCCCCTCCCTCCATATCTCACCTCAAAGGCTCAGTGACTGCAGGCAGAACAGGGCTCTACGGAGTGAATCCCTCTGTAGGGTAGAGGCTGGGGGTGCCTCCCGCTTCCTGGATCCTCTGCATGGGGTTTCCAGCCACTGTACTTGATGGTGCTGAGGGCTCCCAGCTGCTCTCTTTTGGGGGTTTGAGTGCACCCTTCTCCCAACGCTGCAGCGTGGTACGTAAAAGCCCTGCCTCCTGCCTCAAGGTGGGACCAAGCCTGTGTACTGCTGAGCGGCACACGCGCCCCTTGCCTTGCCCCAAGCCTGCGGGATCGAGCTGAAGAGACTGGGCAGCCCAGGCCACATCTGTCTGTGGCCCATTTCATCTGCCCAGTCCTGCTTTCCTTGCTCCGCTCCTCCTGAGAGCACTCCTGCACCAACCGGTGGCACAAAATCCTTGTCTCGGGCTCTGCTTCTAGCAATCTGATCAAGACCTCCTCTGCGGGCGGATCTCTCTCATTTGGGCTGGGAGACCACTCACCTGGCCCCGGGACCTCCACTCTGAGCTCCCAGCCGCGCTCTGCCCTCGGGTTCCCCTCGGCCTCCCGGAGAGAGCGCCTGGAGATCAGAACTTCTTTGTAACATCAGACTTTGGATCTTTCCCTGCCGGGCCCCACCTCCTGCTTCCTGCCCAGCGGCAGGTGAGCCGCCAACGTTTCTGTTACCCCCAAACCCAGGCAGGTGAAAACAGCACCCTCCTTTGGAGTTGGAAATTTCCTTCGACGAGTCAAATGTGACAATTTAACCTACTTACAGAGCAGGACAGATGGAGTGAGGATGATTGTAAAGTCTTCAAAGAGTCACAGGTTGAGCCTTCCTGATTTTGGAGAATTTCAAACATTCACGAAAGTGGGGCGGATGGCTGGGTGAACCCCACGTACCATCCCCCAGCTCAGCGGTCCTCACCTCTCAGCTGATCTTGTTCACTGACTCCCACTCTTCTCCCCTAGTGGTGAGCAAAAGTCAGGCATCCTACCGTCTAGTATTTATCTCTCAAAGATAAGGACTCTTTAACAATAAATATGACCACGTGTCACAATTAAGTGTTAAAACGAGTTAAGTCCTGGAGCTCATTGGGGTGCATTTATGTGAGATGCCCCAACCCCGCAGCCCCAGAACCCTGAGCTACAGGGTCAGGTGACTCTTGTCAAGGACAAGTTCAACACGAGGAGTCAGAAAAACCTCTTCTTGCCTAGTATTTTGCACCATACTAGATATCAAATAACTAGTCAGTGTTCAGATTTCTCT